AGAAATTTTAAGATGTGAGGGCAAAGTATTTTTAACATATAATCATTACATAAATAAAAATGAAAAGTCCTATAGAAAATGAGTGCTTATATCCATTTTAATCTCTTATGTTTAGAAAATCAGGTATCATCAATATCATTTTAATTGATGAATCAAATCTTCCATCATCACTAATCTAGTATTCCTATAAATTTTGGAAGAGAACAATACATTATACAGGAAATATGTAATAAAATATATAAATGATCCAGAGGAAAATAGATAAGTTCTAATTATGAGTGAGAATTGTCTTTTTCTTATTGATTCTCATCCTCATTAGGTCTAATATCTTATTATTAATTCCTTTCACTTGAAATGGTAGTATACATTTCTATAGAAAGTGATTTAATGATATCCTCTGTATAATTCCTGACAAATTTCCTCTTCAGTATTATCTTAATCTTATTTAGCATCTCTGATATTTTTTAGATTCTCTTTTGTCCCATTAAATGCTTAATGCATGTGAAAAATATTCCCATCCTCAGAAATAAATATTAATTTATGTAATCTGAAAAAATAAGAGTGCTATTGTAAAATGGGACTTAATAGACTTTAATCAGAAATAATGGCATAAAGCAAAGCAGAGAAAATTCAGGGTGACTGTCAGGAAACTTTTAGTGGCTTTGTAAAAATGATTGTGAGTCTGGTCAGAAACATCTTATGGGAACAGCATACAAATAGGAAATAATTCCCAGCAGAGCATTTTATTTTACTGTTTAGAATAGTTTTGCAGCAAACAAAGGGGTGGAAATTGCTCCTGGTTCAGGAGTAGCTGGGCTGACTGTTACGTGTCAGGTCATTCACATATCCTGTTATTTTGGCGGGTTTTTTCATTAGCTTTTACACAACAGCAAAGAATTTGTAAACAATTTTCCTTTATTCAGAGCCTTTCATCAACCTTAGCTCCCACTTTTTCCCACCTCTTCATACTTTTTCAAGCGTATCTTTTATGCAGTGTTTGATTCTCACAGAATAGGTTCTTGTCAAAGATATTTAATATACTTTTGAAGAAAAATGTTTCACATAGAAAATAGTGTTTCAGTGAATTGATGAATGAAATTACTGTACTGTATTCTGGCATGTGGTAAGGACAGATTTCTGCCTTCATGCTTATTTATGCTGCCTGCTTAGGGGTGTCATGGACATCCCACAGGAAGTCCCCACTGGTAGCCCTCTTGGAATGATTATGGTGCATTTCATGAAATGGAGTTAGTTTCATGCATTCAGAACTACCAGAAGCATATGTTGGAAGTTTAGATTTCAGTTTCTTTGCTGTGCCCTAGAAGCCAGGAACAACCTGTGCTGTTTGAAGAATACTACCATTGGTATTTTGGCTGATTCTGGACTGCATCTTAAAAATTACTGAACACTCCGGGCCCTCCCTGATTCAGATCTGAATTTTGGAGACCAAAAACAGAATGTATACTGAGCATCTCACTCGAAAGTGCTCTGGTTTTTACATTCTTTCCACATCTTATACAAAAAGTAAAACCACCTATTATGGTTGTGCTGCTTAAAAAAGGGTTTATTATAGTTGTACTCATTTTAATTTCTAAATGCTAAATACGGTTTCAGCTATCAGCATTATTTTTAAATTAGAAGAAATGTTTAGTGGTACTGATAATGAAAACCTTGTTGATTTTGTTTCATGATTATTAAATACAAATGAATGGAATCTCTGCTAAAAAAATTTATGTTTTTATTTAAATTAGAGAAGGCAAAGAATATTCTAATTTAGCTTAAAAGTTATTAACTAAAGGATACAAATCAATAAATTAGATAGCAATAGTCAATGATAAGACTTGAATCACAAAACAAATGAGCCCCTGGAATCCATGTTTATCATTGTATCATTGTCATTATATAAGTAAATATTTATCCTTACAAACATATTTTACACATAGTTCAATAAACCTCTCTTCTTAGTGGTTTTTCTAATTACAAGTAAACTGAATGAACTACAAAGCCAATAGACCAGTGAATAAAAGAAAAACCTGAAACAAAAATAATGAGCTAAATGGCATTTCTTGTACTTGTGATGAGTCTGCGAGCTCATGAATCACAAATTCTTACTTATTTTTTCAACATTCACTTATCTAAAAAATGCAGGAAGGGAAGAAATAGAACGTATTTGTTGCCTCAGTTATGGTCATCTAACATAGACTATGCAATATTCAGCCAGAATGCAGTTCTAGGATAAAAGAGCAGAATAACAAGCCTTGGGCAGATTAAAGGATTTTGTAAAGTTTGAAGTTTATACCAAACTGAAAAATAAAATAGGCATTCTGAATAACTACCTTATTATAATTTTCTTAAGCTTCTGATTCTCTACAAATTAGAAGACTCTTCAATCATTTCCAGTGGATTTGGTAGCTTTCAAGAAGACCATGGACGTGCCATGGGGTGGCCACTGATGTTTTGAGAAGTTCTAAATATACTTCAGTGTGATATTTAATGTTTGGTCAAGAAGCTTGAGACTGGGGGATCTGCAAGGAAATATTTGATTTATTATGTATTTCTGAAGTTACTGAGTTATGAACAGTAGTGACAAATGAAAGGACTGTATCTTACTAGAAAAAAGACTCACCAAAATTTATTTTAAATGATTATCATTCACACTAATTTCTCTATATATTTTATTGTTTAACTTGATTTGTCTTTATAAATGTATATAAATACATATATATGTATATAACACATATGTGTAAGTATTTAACTTTAGATATTGAAAGCAGTAAAGCATCCAACATTAATTCTATCCATAATATAGCTATGGCCATATTATAATTTGAGATATTCATTTTATTTCCTATAATACAGGATGAAGTCTGCCCCAAAGCTGAGGGAGATGAAATTCAGAAGTGTGTGTGGGCCTCAGCTGTTAATGTCAAAGACAAGTTCATTTATGTTGCACAACCAACACTGGACAGAGTCCTTATTGTTGATGTGCAGTCCCAAAAAGTTTTTCAGGTATGAATGATTCCTAGTTCTAAATGTGATTTTAAAAAATTATATAATCTAATTATCTTTGGTTATCATTGATAAGTTGCTTCATTATTTGGGTAACTGGAAAATATATGCACTTTCTGCACATTGTCCTCTCATTCTTCTCCTTGAGCCTAATGAATTGATAGGTAACTTAAATATCTTTTCAAAATTATATTCCATAAACACATCACAAAAATAACACTACTAGTTCCACAACAATAATCATCATCAAAGTTGCTTATTCTTTCTAGATCAAGGAGAATCCCAGTCAGAGGCCAATTAACATCCCTAGTGTCATCCCAGAGATTTTTCTCATTTCATTCTTAACAAAAGCTGAGACAATAGTAGGCTTTACTGGATGATATAACTTAGTAGGTTTTGCTGTAGCAGTAAAACAAGTAATATGTAGGTCATCGATAGAGAAAAAAGTCTCCAACAAACATTGTCATGGTCATAGTTGTGAAAACCATTCTGATTCATTTCCTGGTCTTTCCAAGACTGTCCGACTCAGGCAGTCCACTTGGGCTCAGTGGCACAACAGCCGAAGAGCGCTGTAGGGTTTGCCTCTGAGCAGTCTGTCTCCAGTATCTGGGCTCTTTATTAGTATGATCTATTCCTTCTCAGCCCAGGGAAAAACAACTTACAATAGCTTTATAAGATATGTATAATCTGTTAAATGGGAATAATAACTGCATATCTCATAAGGTTATATTAAGGATTAGATCAATTAATGCAAAAAAGCATTTGTATCAGTGCTTGGCATATATTAGAGTTATATACCTGTTTACTATAAAAATTCTGAGAGACACTGGAACCTAACCGTTCCTTATATTTACAAATTTTTTTTTGGTATCAATACTGGCTTGAAATAGAATATTGAAGTAGGTGTTAATCCCTCCAATATTGATTACTGACTAGAACCACAAAAAATGCTAAGGAATACATAGTTGAGCTTCCCATTCTAAGAGTCCTTAACAGCTTCACATGAATTCATCTATCCATCTATCTGTTCATCTATCCTATATAAATCTGTTGATTGCCTATGAGATATTTTTGGTATCACAAATAAAAGACTGAAAAGTATTTCTATTAGAAAGCTCCAGTATCTCTAGGGTCACAAATTGACAGCAGAAAATTAGTCTAATGGTTCAGTATCTAATATGAGAATGATCAGTACAATTGTAAGTAAAAGGATAAATAACTGTTCCATGGGAAAACTCTAAGGTCTCCAAGGGTTGCTCAGTTATCATGTATATACTATCTAATGGTCCAATATCTAATGTGAGAATATATTTTTCTGTATATTTCATCTCTTATGCTTCTGTCTTTGAGACCACTGAATTTTTGATCAGGTTGATTTTATTATTTCAGCTGTAACAAATCACAGTCATTCAGTTTGAGATTATCAAGACCTTTTAGCTAATAGGTTAAAATTAAAAGTATGTTTCAGGAATAATCAAGCTGGTCTTTAAATTCAGTTTTCAAACTGGAAACCTACACTGACTGAATACATTACTACATATTCAAATGTGAGGAAAGCTAACATCACTTACTCATATAACTTCCATCTTCTGACAATGATGTAAAAATTTAAATTATAGAAAATATTTACAATTAAGTGTTCCTGTAATGGTAAGAATCAGATAAACCATATTGTTTTTGGAAGTACCTATAGTTACTGTTGAATAGAAAGAGAATGTAAAAAACATACAATGCTAAAATATTAAAAAATCATGTTATGATATAATCCTGATTGTGGGCAGTTTTTAGACATGAATCTTAGAAAATTGGGCCTCAGTCTAAGTGGTACTCCGTAAGATCTTGTTATGATAAAATAATAAGGATAAGAATTATGCTTTATTACTCCATCTAGTCATTACCTATCCAAAGATTATCTTATGTAGATTTCTATCACCATAAGTAAATATTGCCTGATTTTGAATGTTACGCACACGGAAACACGGAGCAGGCATGGCTTGTGTTCAGCCACTGGCTCTACACTGACTGAGATCATTTTGTTTGCATGCTACTGCTGTTAGTGTTATTCTGTTTTTTTTCCTCTAGACAATTCTGTTACAATAGATTCTCATTGTTGATTCTGTATTTGAAAATTAACCTACTCTCTCAAATTTATTTAAAACACAAAATCAATACTCAATAGCACTTTCCCAGTCACTCAGGGACACACACAGAGCAGGGAACATTCTGTCTCCCACATACATGTTCCCAGCTAAGGTTCAACAAAAAGAGGCTCTGACTTTCTGTTTTAATTTTCATACTGTAAACAAGTGTTCTTTTAATCTACATAGAGTATTTTTTTTGCATTTTTCCTTTGTTGGCAATTTTGCTGTTTAAAATGGCCCCTCCATAGTGCTGAAATGCTTATGCAAGAAGGACATAATGTGCTTCATTCAGGCATGAGGTGTAGTGTTGTTTGGCTATGAGTTTGATGTCAATTAATGAAGAATCTATAAGTAAAGTGTCTTTGAACAGAAACACACATGAAATAAAGTTATGCGTTTATCAGTTGATAAAAATCTTTGACCAAATGTTCATAGGAACTTAACTACGTATTTCCTCTAGAAGGAATGGTTCGGTATCCAGAAATTCAGTGTTTGTGGTGACATTATAGAACAACTACCACTAATAATGATAATCAAAAGTATTTGACTATATCAAACTTTATTTACCCATTAATAGTAGAAAGGATACATGTCAGAAGGAGATAATGAAAAGAAAGGGGAAAAGTTAATATTTAGATCAAAATGAGTGCTAATGAGTGATAATTACCTATAATGTAATAAGGAATAATATATATATTATATTATAATTTATCATACAATATGTAAAATAAAATACAGTAAATCCTCAGATTTACAAGTGACATTGACATAGAAATAAAAACCAATACTTAAATATATCAGTATGGCACAACCAAAGATCAAACGAAAGATCTTGAAATGGCAGATCATTTACTATGAGCTGCAATTTTCTCAATAGCATAATGACACAAAAGAAAGTGAAATATTATTAAATGGCTAGATGGAAATAAAATGTACTCTGATATTATATGGTTAGTGAACATATAATTCTAAAGCCAGACATAATTTATTTATTGTGTCAGATACACAAAAACATAGACCTTATCACCAACATAAATGGAACCAGAACTAAGACTGAAAATTGTTTGCTTCAGGAATATGGAAAATTAACTTAACAATAAATTTAATGTGTTAGTGAACCAGTAAATTGATAAACACATAATCTATTAAACCATACTGTCAATAATAGTAAAGTTATTCTCTGCATTTAAGTTTGAAATTTTTAACAGGAAACACAGGACAAAAATAGCAAATAAAGTTTTTAAATATTGTACTATAGTATTTAGGCAGTGAGGATGATTTGATTTTAAATATGTAAGGGTTCTTGTATTATTTTGCAATGGGAGTAATAACTGGTTATCCACAAATATGTTAAGTATATTTATTAATATTTCAAGAGCCTAAGTTGTTTTTATTTGAAGTAGTTAAATTCAATGAATGACATACAAATAAGTACAGTTGAAGGGAAAAGAAATAAGAAAGACAAAACAATATGAATGGAAAAACCAGGACAAATAGGAAAAAAATAAAATAAGAATTTGATAGAATAAAACCAAATATTTGAATAAAATTTGATAGAATACAACCAAATAAAAGCCCATAATTACAATAACTGAGAACAGACTAAAGTAACAAACTGAAAGGCAGAAAGAAAATTTTGGGAATGAATAATGAAAACCTAGTCATATGAAGATTAAAAGAAAATTATACACATAGGGACAATATGAGATATTTCAGGCATATGCTAAAAACAAAACAATAAAGCTGGAGAAGTTATTTTACTATCCGGCTTTAAAAGGTACTTTAAGGCACAAAGCATTAAGTCCAAGCAAGTACTTGATAATAATAAAAAAATGATTAAGAACATAGAAGATAAAAAACATGATTAGTTACAATTTTTTAAAATGACTATTGCATGAACTACTGGAGGAGATACATATATGATCAGAGTGAGAAGTATGTGATACATCCATAATTGGTAAATCAATACATAAAATTAATACTATATGTGAATTGAACAACACCCTTACTATGCTTAAACTAACAGATACAGGAATTAACCTTGGCATCCAGCAATGATTCAATATACATCATCACTAAACATTTCACTATCTTAATGTGTTCAGGCTGCTACAACTAATTATGACAGACTGCATAGCTTATAAACAATGGTAGTTAATTTTGCACAGTACTCAGACTGTGAAGTCTGAGATCAGGGCGCTGGCATGCTCATGATCAGGTGAGGGCCCTCTTCCTGGTTCACAGCCTGCATTGTCTCACTGCATCTCGCATAATGGAAGGGTTAGGGATCTCTGTGGGGTCCTTTTCTTAAAAAAGCACTAATCTCATTAATGAGGGCTTCCTACTCATAACCTAGTACCCCCTTTCTAAAGCCCTCAACTCCTACTACCATCATCTCTGGGAGCTTGGATTTCAACATGAATACTGGGGGAACATAAATATTCAGACCATAGCAATCACTAAATGAAACATTTAGTGAAAATGAACACTAAATTAGGCTATAAATTAAGCTTCAAGAAATATTAATGAAATTATTTCATGCTGATTCTCTGAAACAATGTTAAGCTATCAACACTGAAGTAAATTTAAAATATCAGTATAAATATCAAGTAATATTTGATAATCGTGATTAAATATGTTGAATCCAAATAAGGTTGTACTTTGAGAGAATTTTGCTGCTTTAATTTAGACAAATAATAATAGACTGAAAACATGTAATTAGATAATTTTAGAAATTAGCTGAAAGAATCAGGATACTCTAACAAAGAAGAAAGTATGAGAAATGAATATAAAGACTTAATGAAATTAAAGTATAAAAGGTAAAAATTTGTTTATTCAAAAAAGACTTAACAAAAGGAA